TATTCTTTACAAGAAAGCCTGCACATAACTTGAATTAAAATTCCTATCTGATATAGTAATCTGAAAACTTTTAGTATAGAGCACACATAAGTAAACCTTTTTTGGCAGACAGCTCCAAAAGCCATTTTATTAGTTTCTCGTGCTCCCAACACAATTTTTCTTTTTTAACCCTGTCGGACCGGGAGCTTATATATTTTTTTTCGCTTTTTGCTAGAATTATTTACTCTGACAGGCGACGCCAGTTTGTCTTGGCTTCGCTTTCAAACACATGTTTTGCTGTTTTGGCTTTTCTCTGGCAGCAGCTGCCACAGAGAAAAATCAGGCAGCAGAAAAACTAGAGCAAAGCAACAAATACATAAAACACAAAGCAGTTTGAATCCTGCAAAAGCAAAAGGTGTGGCCGAGGGAGCGAGAAAAAGGAAAAAGAATTAAGCAAGCATTTATTGATTTATGTGCCAAAGAGAACTTAAAGCTTAAACTGGAACAGCACGAAAAACGCGAGCGTCATGCGTTCTGAAAAGTAAGCTATCAAATATTGCCAACGACCCAAAATGGTCGGTGTTTGTAGGTATATATGAAAATATATATCTGTGAGTCCCTGGTTAATTTGATTTTTAGTAAAGCACATTAAACAACAAATCAGCACAAAAAATTTGATAAATAGGAATGAAGAAAACGAAAAACGATCTCAACTCATAGCATTTATTTAAGCTGGTTTAATGAATACGTCAATGTGAGACCGATGAAATTACATTACCAAGAACATTCGAAGAGCCTTAAAAAACCCTTTAACCACAATATATCTAAAAAAAATCTGAAAAAATCCACCCACATCCACTCAAAACCCACTTGAAAAGAGAGTGAAAATGCGTTAGGCATTTAAGCACACACAGAAACTGAAAGTTGGCAACAGCGCACAACGAGGTCTTTGAGTGAAACAAAATATTTCGAATCAAAAGTTAAAACTAATTAAAAATATCTAAATGAAAAATTATTTTTAAAAATTGTGTTTTAAAATAAAAAAGTATCAGTTGATTAAAAAATATTACTTTGTTTAATAAGATAAATTGTTTTTAATTTAAAACATTTTTGAACAATATATGTATGTAAGATCCTCTAAAAGTAGAGGAAAATTTTAAAACGTTGTGTATTTTATTTAAGCCTTAAATTTAAAACAGTAAAAAATTTTACTGAACATTTAGATTAATTAATAATTTTTTCCATAACTTTTCTATTGTGATTTGAAAGTAGCACTTTTAACGCATGAATTAAAAGCTCTCATTCCAAATACCACACTGAACTTAAACTATTTTCTATTTTCATCTATTTCCAATACCAATTCTCTGTATCTAATGTCCCATACAAAGTTGCATATCCAGTGTGTCTGAACAATGAAAATAAAATATAAAGCTGCACAAAACAACAGAAAAAGAGAGAAGCAAAGGAAAACCAATAAAGGCAACAAACATTGCCGGCCAACAACTCCACGTAAACTTCATTTACTGTCTGGCTGTGGGCCCCAATTCATCCACCCCTTTCCTCTATTCCTCCTCGTTTTCCTTCTTTCCTCCGCACATGCCGCCACATATTGAAAGGCCTGCACACGCAGTGTTTTTTTGTTTTTATCTCTTTTTTCTAGCTCCTCCAACACAAAATTACTTTTTGTGGTTTGACTGGTGAGGTCTTTCCATCTTGCTCTTATTGTCTTTGTCTCACTCTCATTCCCTCTTTATCTGCACTGCTTCCTCTCACTATCTATTTACAGCTGTGGTCATATTAATAGTCAGCATACAAATATAATTAACTGCTTTACGTTTTGTAAGGCAACAACGACAATTTTTTAACAAATTACTTTATATATACAAATATTTTATTTTTAATCTGTAATTTGGTAATTGTCAACTGTTTTAATTTTTTATTTTGTAATTTGGAATCCTTTTGGCTGAATTAGCTGTTGTCTTACAAAAAGTTGTGAAACTTCGGTTGAAAGCCCCTAGAGCCAGAAATATCTCCTGGTATTCGGACTGAATCTCTTAGTTTGAAAAAGCTAAAAATATTATTCTAATTATGGTAATTTAAATATTATTACCATTATGTAAAATAGCTTAGTTTTAAACAAACATTAAAAGCGTGGTCTTTAAATTTGCTTATATAAGCAACAAAAGTAAACTATTATCTTGACCGCTTCTGTAGCTCTTCTGTTATTTTGTACGCTCCTTATGTTTGTTATTGTGTGTGATAGCTTTTATTTAGTTTTTGTTTTTGTTTCGTTTTTTTTTTTTTAATAAATGCTTGAGTTCATTCAACTGCCAAAAAACACTAAGCTCACACATAAAAAGGGGCAGATATAGACAAGAAAAGAGATGGGAACGAACAAAAATCGAAGCTCACGACGTGCATACGAAAGATGTAAAATAAAAAGATTGTATCTTATTTTTTTGCTTGAATCATTTATTAAAATATCTTACATTTCTGATTTTCTTTATATGTATGTATTTTTGTGATTTTCCGGCAGCTGCGTTCGAACTTTTTGATCTATATTTAAGTTTAAATTCTAAACAGTCAACAACATTTTACAGCAGGCCATTTACCACAATCCCGCCACCCTTACACAATCTCCTGGACTTTATACCCAAAATTCCCCTGCATTTGCATTCTGTAAAAGTTTTCCCTTGTTCTTTTCCGCGTTCAGTTATCTATTTTAGTTTTAGTGCCTCTGTTTGTGTGTTTGTTGTATTTATGGCATTGTTTCGCTTTTGAGTTTCCGCCATGAAAGTGCAGACCTCCAAAATGCAACTATTTCTGGCTCACATAGATACACAGTCAAGTTCCAAGAGTGTAAGTGGATGCCCCGATGCAGGCTGTCGAAATTGTTCATATATACATATGTATGTATATACATACAAAGAAATATACAACCGAGCAAGGTTAATCATCTTTTGGGAGCCAATTTACTTGTTTTAATACGAAAGGAGCTATATTTAACATACAAGTACATTAGGTTGGTCAAAAATTTGTAAGAACATTTAAAGGTTTTCCTCTAATCCGCTTAAAGCATGCGTTTAGAATGCGTTTAAGGGTCTCCGCATTAGCTTCAAAGTTTAACATCCATGCGTACTGTTGCTTCTGATCAAAAATTTGTTTTAAATTCAGTTTTCACTCTTCATTTTTTTTAAATAAATTTAAATAAAAAAAATCGCAAATCATTTTTTGTTTTATTTAAGTTTTTTTAACCCTTATATTATAAATAAACTAACTTTTCCAATTAAAAAATAAAATTACAAGTTTTTTAGAGTATATGTACGATATTATTTAAGCTACCTTTATTTTACAAAAAGTTTATATTTAGTTTCATATTCGTCTTTCTGTGATTGTGAAACAGCGCCAAAACGGAACGTTGTAATCTGTAAAAGAGAAGACTCAACCAGGAAGAGAAGCAGAAGATACGAGAAGAGCAGGGACACAAGAAAAGCACCCAAACAAAAAAATCGTTACTAATACAAATAAACATTTGCTGCCTGACTGGCAACGGTATCTCTTTTTTACAGACACACATGTGGTACACATAACAGGCATCAAAAGTTACTCCGAGAAAGAGAAAAATCAAGAAGCGGGCTAGAAAAAGAAGAAGCAGTAGGCGGAATAGAGTGCAATGGCAACAACGAAATGCAAAAACAACAACAACAACCCATGGAGATAAAGTGGGAAGCAAAAGCTGTCTGTTTTTTTTTTATTTTTTTCTTTTTACTTGTGACTGGATGTATGCATCCACAGCAGCAGCCGCGATCAAAACAAAAATAGTCGATGTACAGTAAACGACAGATACGGTGAACTAAGTTCACTGTAATGTTTGGCATATCTATATTTTAATGATGATTTTAATTTTTATTTACTTTTTTATACATTTCCTATTTCCGAATCATTCTGTTGTCTATTTTATGTTTGGTCGCTTTATGCCTACGCAAAAAAAAATAAAGACGGACAGGACAGCACAAGACAAACGAAACTATCGCAACTTTTAATTGACAGAAAACTTGTGGCCAGGATAAATGGCTAAATGGCCAAAGTCGAAGTGGCCAAATAGCACGCATGTTACCAGACCCCCTTTCACGGCCCTCTCTCTATAGCCAGTCCATCTAGTTTGCCATAATTGGTTTTTGGTTTTCGGGTCTTTTTCATGTAATCAACAAGAAAAAGCTTCTCTAACTCGGCATTGGGTATTTTTATTTATTTTTTTAAGACTGAAGCTGACAAGCATGAATAACTTTTAATGGTCAGTTTATATCTAGAAAAATAACAGAAATCAAATATAAATGTCCAAATTTTGATAGAAAATCAGCAATCATCACCTCGTAATACCGAACAAATTGACAAATTAGCTTTTAATTAAAAATCAAATTAAGAACACTATTAGAGAAATTAGGAAAGATATCTAATAAAAATATAAAACAATATGAACAAATTATTAAATCCAATTCGTAAATTCTCTTATAAATACAGACAGGTTGTTTATTCACATTGTATTAGAAAATTTTTAATTTTAGTTCCATAAAAAGTACCCGTGGGTAGATTTTATAAATATTTTTTTAAGCTTGTTGAGAAACTGAAACAATTTTTGAAACTCTCTTTGTTTTTATGATTTTTAAATACATTAACTCGGGTGCATTTGAAATATCCATGACTTTTCCCCTTCAAATTTCAAACCCATGATACGAACGCCTGTATTTCCCACTCGCAACTATCATTAAACTGCCCCAGATTCCACAGAATTCTGGCACATGGGAAACCGATAAATTAATAAGTTAGACTTTTCTGAAGGTCTGTTAACTTCCGATATTATGAACGGCGCGGAAAATAAACACAGCCAGTGAACACACTTTCTCGACCTACTTTGAAAGTTTAAATTGCAAATTTCCCTATTGTCAGCTGAATTTAATGGCGATATTTCCTGGTTTTAATACTTATTTTGTATTTATGTTTCGTTTTATAAGAATACTTACATTTCGCGCACTCAGCGCTTTGTCACTTCTTCTTCGTCTCTCGCTTCTTCGCTTTCCTCGTGCTTCGTCAATTGATAGATAAGCAGTTAGCCGACGCCTTGGTTTTTTTATTTTATTCCATTCGTTGTTGTTGTTGTTGTGGATGTTGGTTATTTGATGTTGGTGGCATTCCGGTTAAGAAAATGCAACGAAGGGGAAGACTAAGGCGTTTGAAACCGCAGTTCACTGATTATTAAGCACTAGAATTAACCTCTGTTGTATTTGCTTTTGCTATACATATATTATTTTCGTTGTCAAGCGCTGCAAGAAATATGGAAATATATAAGATTACTTTTCTCACTTTTTTATTACTTGCTTCTTCTTATTCGGTATTTTTCATATACATTTGTATGCACACTAACACACGCGCGAAAAAAACTCGCGGCGGCTGCTGCTGCTGCTTTTTCTTCTTCCTCTTTAAGCAGCAGCCTCTTTTTTTTATCGCTTTCGCTCTGCTATTCGCTTCGTATATTTCATACAATTTTCTTTTGTTGCAATTTAGGCATTTGTTTTAGCACACATGCACACTACACAGAGGCACGTACACACAGAAGCAATTTATATTTTGCTGCTCTTTAACGCCGCACTGATTTGCCGCCTCGCTCTGACACACACACAATTTACTCACGTAATTCAGCTTACTTATTATATATTTTCTGTGCAGCTAAATCGCACAATGTGCTTACTTCGATTTGCTGCGAGAACAAACACGAGTATTGTATAATTAAAAATTTTTTCACCGATTGGCTGCGACCCCAAAATGTTTCAGTACACACAGACACACACACACACGCGCGCGACGCAACGACACGTCCGTTATGTTTCAGCGAGTGAGTGAAACAAAAACACAAAAGGAAGATGACAATAAGGGAAACGGAGAATCCCTAACGGGAGGCGCAAATCACCTAACGCCTTGATAGTATCGAATATTCGATTAATTTATAGCAATACGAAATAATTAACTATCAATAGTATGATGGGAAAAAGCGTAAATGAATTAGTATTTTCCTTCTCCACATCCAAATAAATTAATTGGAAATCAACTTGGGCGAATGCGATAACTTCAAAATGGTGGCGTTTTCATAGCATTCAGCTTTTGTCGGGTCTACGTATTTATACCAAAAGTTGGTAGTGTTTCGCCGCAAGGAAATTCTCAAATTTGCGTTGCAGTCGTAATTTTTTTTTAATTTCCTATTTTTAACCTTATTTATACTTTTGTCCGATATTAAAAGACTTTTATAACTTTTTTCTGGGACAGTTCTGAATAACTGTCATCAAGAAAAAGTGTTCATTTAAATATTTTTAAAAAAATTTCAAAGTTCTAAACCATATTTTTGTCCAGATCGGATTTTTCAAATAAAATAAAACTGATTTTTAGCCACACATAAGTCCATACGTGTTATTTACATTAATATTGTTTACGTGTTAAAAATTAACTATATATTTGATATACATTATTGGTGCCTCAATTTGCGATCTTATCCACTAAAAAAATCTTTGCTTGGTCATATTAGCTATGTCTGTTTTTCCATTAAATCAGGTCATAAAATAAATATAAATAATAAAGATGTTTTTCTTGATTAAGTTAAAATTATCCCTTTAAAAGTATGTCGATCCTCTGTAATGTGCGAATTCTATCTAAATTTAATTCATAACATCGGACATCAAGCAAGTGGAAAATGCTCAGTGGGAACAGGCCTTTATGTCAGTGTGACCATTCGGCAGTGTGTTAGTTGACGGCGTATCGTAAATACCAGCATTTTCCAAATCTTTCTTTGTTGCGGTATTCTGAACGAAAAGATCGGCGAGCACACTTATTTTGTGTTGATTATAAGCGGCGGTTGGTCGTACGTCGGTCGAATCGGAGAGAAACGAAGAGAAGGCGACAAACAAAAAGAAAAGTGCAGCGACTGGCAGACAAGTTAAAAGGGCATACAATTATATGTAAGAAACAACGCAAATGTTTAACAATAATTAGCACTGGTTGAACAATACAAAAACTACACTTTTCGCGAGGTGCGTAGAGCGAAAGGAAAATCAAAGTGAAAAATCTAATATACAAAAAAAATAGAGCCAAATTGTTGTTAACAGAGTGTGAGCGTGTATGTGCGATAGTTGTTGTTTGGTTAGTAAAAGAGAAAATCGGAAAAAGGGCGTCGCAGTTTGAAAATTGATGTGTGCATAAAAATCAAGCTGCAGCAGCCAAAAAAAAAGGGAGAGAGACAGAGAGCGTAAAGAGCGGAGAGAGAGAGCGGGTGGCTGCACCTCAAAAACTGTTGTTGCAAAGGTGAGTGCGTGCCGAATATTGTTTATAGTTCAAAGTTGTTTAATGTGTATTCAGAACCACACGCACGTACCAAAAAAACGTGATAGATTGGTTTTTTATGCGAAGAAACCACGGAATTTTATCCAGAGTTTTTTTTTCAACCTCAATAACGTTTTGGGTTAACGTTTAACTCGACATAAACAATATATATATCTATTCCAAGTTTTTAGTAGGCGTAATTCTTATAATAAAAACAACCATGAATCCATTTTTAATCCACTCTCAAATTTGTCGTAATGAAAAAAATCCATCCTTATTTAATTTCATCTAAAAATGTAGTGATTACATTTACAATAATATATTATGAAGTATAAAATAATTTTTACATACATATGTAAGTAGTTATTAAAGAATTTTACTTAATTATTTGATAAATAAAAAGCGATAACAATTTATACTGCAAGTAGGGTTTTTTCTTTATTACAAATAATATGTTGTTTGATGTTTTTCTGTTTATTCAAAAAGTTGTCCGAAAATGTGTTACACTGTCCCAAAAACTCAGTTTTTGGTTGTTAGTTAAACAGTCTAAGCGACATATTAAGTGTGGTTGGGAAATTGGTTAGTGCTCGATAACTCCGCTCCTGAAAAGCGCTACGGATGGTCTGGCTTTCCCTGCCACTGCACTTGATTACTATTTGTTAAACTCCCACCTCCCCCCGACATATGCATAACACAATCAACGTTAATAACAACTTCAATTCAGTTTATAATAATAGAGAATGCGTTTTGTGGCCTGGCAACAATCACACTTTCCTCCACGTCTCCACGATCAATTCACTTAGCTGCACATTTTGTGTGAGATCGTCTTAAGCAAGCTTGTCTTTCTATAGCCTCTTCTTCCTGTTTGTTGTTATTATCATTTGGTTGCTTTTGTTGTTGTTCGGAGACAGGCACGGTTGAGTCTACAACAACACGTTTTTGTCAGCAATTGAATTAAATTCAACAGGAATGATAAATGTAAGCGGACTGAAACTGAAAAGAATCGGCATTTATAGCGAGGCTATTTCTACACAGAACAAAACTATAGTTTATTTAAAATTGCGGGTGATGAAACTAAATTAAGCAAGTTAAACAGGAAATAAATTTTAAAAATTCATAAATATCGAAGACTAGAAATGGAATCGTTTCCTAGGGTTTGAGTTTACTTTTTTGTTATGCGAAAAAAGTGCCTTTTTATCAATAAACATAAGTTAAGTTTTTACCGCTTTTGGTATCTCTAATATCTAAAGACCTATATATATAAATATTTAAAATTAATTAATATTGTACTTGGTTTTATATTTATTTATGCTCAGTGTAGCCTTCTTGCTCGCACTCGTTTGCTTGTGCTTGTCAGCTATTTCTGGCGCAGTGTTTATATTATTTATTTAATTTCGTGTGCAGATCTACCTTCTCCTCTCTCTTCCACCGACTAATCTCGTTCAGTCTGTGACAACTGATGATTTTATTTATGAGACTCTGGGCTCATATTAAATATTTCATTTTAAAAATTCTTTTGCCGAAATGTTTAAACATCGCGCGCTCATTTTGTGTTTGGTTAATTTGATTTTGTAATCGACCAAGAGCATAATGAAAGCTTTTGCTCTTCACTTTGTTGCCAACGGCGCCAAAAACATTTGCACACATACGAATCTGGAATTTTGAAAGCCCACAAGAGGGCGAAGACCTAGACATTAGCCTGTGATGACGTCAAAGAACAGGTGGGTGGTGGGAGGAGTGGGAAAGTGCTGGATTATGAGAGAAAAGATTAACACATTGTACTTTTCATTTAGCCAGAGGTATTACTTGGCGAGGAGTTTTAATAGAAATACTCATGCTTATCAAGTAGCCGAGAATAAAGTTTGTTAATTTAATATATTTTTTAATTATTTAGGTATGCTAGGTAAAATAGATCCAATACATATTTACCCAAAAAAAATGTTAATTTTCCTGAACAAAAACACAATTAAGGGAATGTTCAGTTTTTGAGAAATAACTGATTGACAGATTTCACTATTGATTAATTCTCTTTCAATCATTAAATATCGACATTAATTAGCTTTCTCTTTTTCTGATTAATTGTCTTCAACTAAACAGCCTTGATCGAAAAACAATTTTCAAACAGACCTCCGGATAAATTACTTTCGGATATGACCGAGTCCCAGTTTCGTTAAACTACTTCAAATCCCCATTAATCTTTGAATATCGTACATTATGCAATAAATTCAAAACATAAAAAAGAGCACGAAAGCCAGCAAAATTATTTGCATATTTAATGAAGTTTTTTTGATGAGCAAAGGTAAGCGATTAAATAAGCAGAGGGAAAGTTGTGTTGTTGTTGTTTATTTTGTTCTTGAACTCTTCTCAAACCGATTCAATTTGTTTTTGTTTTCCCCGATGTTATTTCATTTTGTTCTGTTTATTCTCTGTTATTTTGGGCGTGTGCCCAAAAGAGAGAGGCGAAATGAGAGCGAGAGAGAGAGAGAGCCATGTGGGACCCGGCTCTTTAAATGGATTTTGTCCTGGCAACAAGCGAAACGTACTTCCCAAAAAAAATATTTTGTTTTGCTGTGTCTCCTAAAATTGGTTTAGTTCACCTGATTAGACCTTTGGATTAAGGCAATAGAAAAAAAAACACCTTAGATAACCTGAAACGATCGCATTTCCGCCTCTAAAATCAAAAAATCATGTTCTCTTTATGTACTTTTTAAAGTACATACATTCTGGTTTTATTACTCAGTATTAGCTGCCATCAAAATTGATTAGATTCGTTTGCTAATTTTTTGCCACTTCTCTGCTAATCGTACAGATTACGTTTATTAATCATAATTGGCTAATAAAAAAATGTTCCGTTTCGTTTTAAATATTTCTTTGAAAGTTGACTTTTCAAAGGAATTCAGAGCTAAATACGCAGAAATGGGTGAGGGAGTGCCATTAAATGGAATTTCTTTGTAGATTAAAGTTCAGTAACCAAGGTAAAGCCAGAATTATGGCTGTTTTCGGTTTGTTGATGATGTCAGGCATGCTAATTTGGATTAAATGCTTATACCTATACCTTGGCTAGACGAAAATTAGGTTATTCATCAATTTTTAGTGATTCTAGTTCCACTTTAAGAACATTTTGATATTTGTCAATAAATATTTTAAGTTTCTTTGTTTTCAGAAATTCTGGGAAAGCATTTGGCGCATTGTTTTTTTATGAATGAAAGTATTTGTATTTGAGTTCAGGTTACTCATCCACTAGTTAAAAATTTGTTCAATCAGATGACCAAATATGACAATGACCTTATAAGTTAAACTACAGCTTTATAGGCTGCTGTTTTGCTATTGCCGCTCTGATGGCCCCACACATAAGTTTTAACAACTTCCGTTGTGAAAATTTACACATAAATTGTTAAATTGTTTTGCACAAACAAAAAGAGACAAACAACAATAGAAACGGCAGTTTTCACTTTCACCTTTTGAGTTTTGCCCGGTTTGTGTTGCAAAGAAGGGGACCATATGGGAAATGGAAAGGGTT